AACACTCACAGCCATATGACCCTTGTGTGCATGTGTTCTCAAGAGGAAGTGATTATAACTTGGCGAGGGGGAAACCTCCACTTAAGCTGCCATTGTTCAGACCTTCCTGGTTTTACAGAGGAAGACTCAATTCTGTCACACTTTTTCTCTAACTCGCTTTCCCCCTCAGAGGCTTTCTTCTCTTTTATTAATTAGATATACCCTTTTCCTTTATTTGCCCGACCTTTGTTTTGCATTGATGTGGCTAAACTACATTGAACTTAAATAAATGTATCAATATATCAAGTTTCACACACAGGCCAGATTTAATTTGTGTTATGCTGCCATCTATTGTCTAAAACTGGCCATGACTTGTTGGTCCGTTATTTTTAATATAACGTTTACACTGTAAACTTGCCAGGCAGGCATACTGTTACTTATTGACTATTTCACTTTATTCGTTAGATTTTGATTTAGTATATTTAAATTATATGTCAAACATGTAAGTGCTGAACAAGTCAACAGAAAGATCGTTTTAGTTTTTTACCCTGTAGTAAACTGATCATAAAAATAGCTACTTTTGTTTTAGAACATGCAACCAGTTTAAAAAAGAGACATTAGAAACATAAACGTCTTGAAGTCTTTAAAAAATGGACCAAATGTCATGGTAGGCTATATATGACCATTACTAGCCTATGAGTAATCAAAAGAAACAAATTAAAACTATTATTCTTCTAAATCACATTTTATAAATAAATAGATTGGTTCACCTATTGCTGGAGGGAACTGAACGTGCAGCAGCTGTGATTGAAACGCGCACAGCTGCACGTGCATCAATCACAGCTAATTAGCTACACCTGAGGCGGATATGTCCTATAAAACCTCCCTGCGGAAGCTTTCATTAAGTTGCACCTTTAGTCAAGTAGCAAGCACGGTTTCGCCCTGCGTAAAACAGCCACTATGCCTACCAAGAACGTTGATGACGCGCGAATCTCCAAATTCAAAAACAAGGGGAAGGATCCAGCAGTAAGTTAATGTTATTTTGTTCACTGACGTGCGTGTTAATCTTTTTATCAACACTGCATCTCGGTCTCTTGGCAGAAACTTCGAGAGAAACGGATTTCTGCGTGCGTGGAGCTGCGCAAAGCTAATAAAGATGAAAACTTCCTGAAGAGAAGAAACATCTCGGTGGACCTCTCTTCTGATTACATCTCCAACGAGATGGTCAGTAGGCTACACAGAAAACCCTACAAGTTTGTTAAAATTAGCGGAGCTTCTAACGGTGTTTCTGTCATTTATAGGTGGCCTCGTTAGTCATTGAGGATATCATTAAAGACGTGAACTCCAACTGCAGGGAGTCCCAAACTCGAGGGTGCCAGGCCGCCAGGTGAGGGATCACTTCTAAATGTGTGTTGTAACCAGTGATCTGTCGCACGACACAATAGTATTCTATACATATTTGATGAGCATTTCTGACCCAAAAAAAAACCACTGGCTAAAATGTCAATTAAATATAATTTTGGAAAATTTCAAATTTATTCTTTAAACATATGCCTGGTAAGACGTATATATTTCCTCCATCCTTCTCAGGAAGCTGCTGTCTCAAGAGCGTAACCCCCCTCTGAAGGAGATCATAGATGCAGGGCTGCTGGCGCGCTTTGTGTCCTTCCTGAGTATGGATGATGAGCCCAATCTGCAGTTTGAAGCAGCTTGGGCCCTTACAAACATCGCCTCTGGGACATCTTGGCATACTCAACAGGTGTGAACAGTGTTGAAATAGGAATGCTAAACTAATGTTGTTAACAGTGCCATTTAACTGGAACAGGTTATCAGGATCCTTGATAACATCCTGTTTAAAACAGACCGGATGTATTTCATAATATAAGTGGATTGAAAGTGCAACATAACTTTTTGTGTCTCAGGTGGTGGAACATGGAGCTGTACCATCCTTCATCGCCTTGCTGGCTTCACCCATGTTGCACATCAGTGAACAGGCTGTCTGGGCTCTTGGAAACATTGCAGGTTAAATGCAAAATTAATGTTTTATATAGCTAATATTTCTGAGTTTGACATTGAATTAAAACAACTGATACATGTTTAGAGTAAATGGTAAAGGTTTTGAAAAAACAAATGAAAGTGGTTTTGGACAATGATTCATATAGCTGTGAAGGGGATTCAGGCTCATGTCTTGTAATGGGGGTCTGTCTCTGCACTGTCCAAAGGCTTAGTTTTTCAATGTAATGGAGTTCTATCTCTTCACTGTTGAAAGGCTTAGTTTTTCAATGTAATTGTGGTGGTAAACTGAAACTCCATCACAAATGTAACTTCTCTACAGGTGACGGTGCAGCTTATCGAGACATCCTGATTGAGTGCAATGTCGTCCCAGCCTTACTGGCACGAATCAGCCCAGACACACCAGTAAGTAAAAACAGGCTCAGATTATTCACTTGACATGTATTTCCTTTTTTCCATTATACTTGAGTGACAACTTCATAAGGGCAGAACTGCTGCAGTGTTTGTCTAAATGTTTTGATTACTCCAGGTTGGCTACTTGCGTAACCTGACATGGACATTATCCAACCTGTGTCGGAATAAGAACCCGTTCCCACCCTTGTCTGCAATCCTGCAAGTGAGTAAAATGCTGGATAATTTATTAACAGCCTTGCAGATTTATCGAAGCTCGGCTCAGAAGATCAACACCCGGTCAAAATGGGTCCAGATTACTAGCGAGATGACTAATGTGCTGTAACTGTTGCCCCTTCAGATGCTTCCGTCTTTGATTCAGTTGCTCCATCTCAGTGATAAGGACATCTTGTCTGATGCATGCTGGGCAATCTCTTACCTCTCAGACGGCGACAATGACCGCATTGATATTGTTGTGAGAACTGGCATCGTCCCTCGGCTGGTGGAGCTCATGAGCCACAAGGAGATCAGTGTCATGGTAGTGTTCTCAAACTCACTATTCAACTCAATTTTAAAACTGGAATAAGATCTGTTGCTGCACCATCAATGTGAGACAAGTCTCTTTCTGATCATGCAACACAAGTAGCACCTCAAACGTTAAAGTAAAGCTTTTGGTCAAACCAGAATCTTATTACCTGCCCTGTCACTAACTATGGTTCAGTCAATCAGTTTCTTGTCTGCCCTTCAGACCCCGGCTCTCCGCTCAATAGGGAACATAGTGAGTGGCTCGGACCTGCAGACCCAGGTGGCCGTCGATGCCGAAGTTCTAAAAGTCATACCTGTACTGATGAAGCACCAGAAGCCCAGTGTTCAGAAGGAGGCAGTGTGGGCGTTATCCAACATTGCTGCAGGACCATGTAGGCAAATCCAACAGCTGATCACATGTGGCCTGCTCCCTCCCCTGGTGGAACAGCTCAGAAATGTAAGATCAAGCGTGACCTTCTGATCCTTTTCCAGTCTAGACATCAGTGTGCACTGTAGTATTACTTGACATTAGTCATTCTTTATGGTCTTGTAATGTAAACGGGGACTAATTGTTTTTCTTAGGGAGACTTTAAAACTCAAAGGGAGGCAGTGTGGGCAGTGACAAACTTCACCAGTGGGGGCACTGTGGAGCAGGTGGTCCATTTGGTGCAGAGTGGGGCCCTGGAAGCAATCATCAACCTGTTGCAGGTCAAAGATGCTAAAGTCATCCTGGTCATACTGGAGGCCATCAACAACATCTTCATGGTGAGTGTGAAACTTTAACTTCTAATAATTTTAAACTTCAGTTGGACAGTTGGATGGTTTTGGTTACCTTGCATTGTCTTTTCAGGCAGCAGAGAAGCTCGGGGAGACTGAGAAACTGAGCCTTTTGGTTGAAGAGCTTGGAGGACTTGACCGTATTGAGATGCTGCAGAACCATGACAATGAGTTGGTGTACCAGGCTGCTCATACCCTCATAGAGAAGTACTTTGGTGATGTAAGTAGCCCATGATTTCAATATTTCCTACATTATTTGAGATGAGGATTAGTGAATGAACATTCTCAAAGTGTTCTTGTATTCTATGTTAATTTGTGAACCTCATTGAAAGTCTTTGAATTAAGCTTATATGTCTGAAGGCATTTTCTAAATGTGACTTTATCTCTCCTAGGGTGATGTCGTGGGAGTCAAAGTCGAGAGTACAGAAGAAGCATTTGTATTCAAGACTTCTGATGTCAAGAGAAATTTTGAATTTTAAACGTACTATTGTATGCGTTTGAATTCATGTTGAATAAATAAAGGTTGTATATTAATTGGTGAAGTATATTTGCTTTGATGAAGGTTGCATTGGGAATGCTTTTGAAACCTGTTTGTAAAGGGCTATTAATTGATCCAGGGCAAAGTAATGGCCACTTTTATGGATAAAATGATCTGTTAAACTGACTTTATTGTAGCTGATTAAAAATAGTTTTAAAGTATTTAAGGGCATTCAATATATTACAGAGGAATCATCATTGCTGATAAACATTTCATGAGCTATGACTTGTGAAGCTAAAGAGTTAAGCAAGCAGTAAAAGGGACTTTTTTTCTTCTTTTACCAGAAGTCAGGTTTCAGTTAACTTCACAAAACCTTTCCACTTGCAAGTAAAAAAGGAATGGCCTATGCTCACTCATAGCTAATTGGGTAAAAACAGAGGTAGATTTTTATTTTATTTTATAATAAATGTTAACATTACCAAGTGTTTGATTTTACCACAGTCAAAACTGACTTTTAAAATGTGGAAACTTACATTTTAATGAATTAAGCACATGTTCTCAATGGCCTGAAAGTGTGTTGACATGCACATATAATTAAAGATTGTTAAATCAAATTTCAATACAGAGGCGAACAATGTATTGTGATCAAAGCATTTAAAAATGACTTTTCTAAATGCCACATTGACACACTGACAAGTGAAACCAGAACTATCTGCATGGGTGAATCCGCCGCTGCGGTGTGAAGAGGAAACACCGGTACTTTTCAGGCTCTAGCTCCGAGCCGGCCCTGAAAACGCATTGGTGTGAAAGGGGCAATAGACGCTTTTGAAAAGCTCTGATGTCCAAAAGGAGTGTTGCGACATCATCCTCACAGGAGGCTACAACGGACTCCTCTTCAGAGTCTGAAGCTCCTGTAAATGTTCAGAATACCTCCAATCAGGCTGCCATGCAGAAGACCACAAATGCCTCACATGTTGCCTCTGGTCTGTCTGTCATCAGAATCCCCCTCAGCTTGTCTCTGGACTCTGTGGACGACATGTATTACGGTTGCTCCCACAAGATGCTGATCAAAGTAAAACATCACTACATTCCCTCGGAGCACAGGGAAGGTCTGCACTCCATGTACACAAACCGTTGTGCTGTTAAAGCCATGAGGAATAAAGACAACTATGATCCGCTGTCTTTGAATCACTTCCGGGCTCTGTGCCTACACGTGGGTGGGTCGTATGGGGAGTTGAACCGAGCAGTCCGCAGAGGGGAGGCTTCCTACGGGACCTCGTTTGAATTCCACTGCCTCCACTTCCTGCTGTCTGATGCCATCCGGCTGCTAAAACTCAACCAAAGAAGCTGCTTCACCACCTACAGGAGGAGCAAACTGCTCTACAGTGGAGAACCTGGACAAATTATGCGCTTCGGTTCATTTGCCTCCAGCTCTCTCAGCAAGGACCTGAGACAGTTTGGACAGAGGAGCTGCTTTGAGATACACACATGTTTCAGTGCCTACCTCAAGTCCTATTCAGAGTTTGATTCAAACAAGGATGAAGTATGAAATGTTCAATATTGTATCTGTGGACACTTCAGGACAGAACCATTTACACTGATGTTGTCTACAAGCTGGAGACGGCCGGACTTTACAGCAATCTCAACTGCCAGGCTGTGGAGCCTTTTTAGAAGTTAGCATTAACACTTTGTTTAATAATGAAGTTTAACTACTGTCACCAGATCAGCAGCCACATTTCTATTTTGCTTCACAATCTTGAGTTTATTGAAACAATGTCTTTCTTTTTTGTATTTATTATATATTTGTATTATAACTATATATTTGTGCTGAAGACTTTTCCTTAAAAGTCCTACATTTTATTTTACTGTTTTTATTGTCTTTTGTTTGTATTTGACATTGTGGGAGAAGCCAGTGTTCTCAGTGAGATCTTACAAACTCAATCCGAAGATCATTTTATAAACAGGGACATGGTGTCATGTTAAGCAAAAAATAGAAGCGCAAACCTGTCCCCGACTGATTGAAGAAAAACAAGAAATAAAAAAGAAGTCTCAGTACAAATAATTATTCATAAATGTTGATGAATGGAATTCACATAAAGCCAAATCAAAACTAACATACAGAACTCCTTAAGGCAGTGGTTCTCAAACTTTTTCTGTCAGGCCCCCCCTTTGGAGAAAAAAACAAGTCTGGCCCCCCCAACACAAATAGTCAGGCTCAGTGGCGCCAGAGATTTATTTTGGGGGTGCTGTGGGGTAGCTTGACGTTTCATAGAGGGTGCGCAAACATTTAGGGTTTCCCATTAATGTACCGGTCGCTACAGTGGAATTCTCTACTGCAACACTCCCCACGCACATACATAGTGTGACAGTTACAATGAAGGCTCGAGGCATATAGGTGTAAGCAGGGGTAAAGTGATATTTTTATAGGTGGTGTGTGGACCTCACATAGGGGGGTCCGGGGGCAAGCTCCCCCGTGAAGATTTATTTTTAAATATTGAAGTTAAAAGCATCAATCTGGTGCACTTTGAGAGCAAAATGAAGAGATCTATGGATACATCTCTCAACACCGGTATGAAACAGAACTATAAACAGATTTACTTTTTCTTTATGGATATTTTACAAATATTATTAAATCTCCATATTCCACAAGAGAAACAGGAAGTGTTGCAATAGGCTGTGAAGTGTGAACCAGAAAGGCAATTTGCTAAAAATATACAATTGTTCAAGGCAAGGTCAGTGTTACGGCTGTATGATACAGCCATAACAGTCAGAAAATAAACCATTGCTGACATTGACCTGTTAGTGTCACACAAGAGAATGACTGTGGCTCCTTGTGTGTTTTATTAATAATAAATAATACCCGTAACAATCAGTGTGTATGTGTGTTTGAGCGTCTACATTTTCTCGTAGCTGAGTTCCTGTCCGCAGGTGGTGCAGGTTTTCTTGTAGAGGTCCTCCTCCTCATCCACTACCTCCTCCGGTCCGTACTGATGTTGGTGGACGCTGGTGTCTTTGGTCCACATGCTGCTCCTCACCGCCCGGCGCAGCTCTGACACACATCACACATGAACATTAAACATCCATATTATCGAGTTGATGCTCACACATCAAAATCTTTATGTGTCCACAGTCACTGACTCATACAGGAAACCGACCTTTGACTTTCTTGTTGAAGCGTTTTTGTTTCTGCACCTCTTTGTTCTCTTCTCTAGTCTCTTTAGCTTCCTCCAAGGCTTCCTCCGAGCCCCACACCTCCATACATCTCTTCTCCACCTGGGAAACAGAAATATACGAACTGTAGTTCATATATATTATAGAGACTCAGGAAAACATACATAACAATAAGGCATTATTTGTCATGTGACCAAAATGTTTGTGGCTTTGATTTAGAGATGCAACTAATGATTAACTGTATTATTTAGGGATGCTCCGATCGCCAATTTCGGGGCCGATCGCCGTTCCGATCGAGTGGGCGGGGCCTAAATGGAAGATTTAAACATCACTTTAAATCTTCCATTTAAAGTGATGTTTAAACTCAGTTAATGGGGCTCATTCACTGGAGCTTCTACAAACAACAATCAACTTAATTATTACATTCAAATGATGTACATTATTCAAGTTTACATTCACTTTGGATAATAACACGGGAGAAATTAGCGTAAGCGCTCTCTTTTCCTCTCTCCCTCTCTCTCTCTCCTGACAGCCTGTCAGTATCTCATACAGCTCACTGATCCAGTAATGAGTGACCCGACAGTGAAGAATAAATATATTTATAATGACTAGTTTAGCTTGTTCCAGAGGTAGATAAAATAGCTAAGTGTGTTAGGTCTAACTCTTGTGTGTTTCACTCCGCTTACCGGTCCGGCGGGCGGAGCTGCAGGATTTCTGCTTCACACACGTTGCATACCGCTATTTTACTGTCTTTTTCAGACACCTTAAAATAATGCCAGACCGATGAAGCCATTTTGGCGAGCTTGTTTTGCTGCACACAGAGAAAAGTGTCATGTATTTTACGTCATGCGATCGGCTCTCGCGATCGGCATGTTTAGAGAGCACCGATCGATCGGTAGAGAGTGAGTATCGGCCGATCTCGATCGGTGACCGATCGATCGGAGCATCCATAGTATTATTGATCAGTCTATCTATAAGTATAAGTCTATTTAGTTCTATATATATATATATATATATATATATTATTTTCCTGCTAAATAAATGTTTCATAGCCCAAGATTCAATATTCAGATTTATTGAAAAGTCATGCAATATAAAAAGAGTAAAGCTGACACAACAAATTCAACTAAAAATACTTTCAAAAGTGTTAATTAATTATGTGATGACTATTAGATCCTTTCAGCACTACTTTTTCATCACAGCTTGATAATATCTTGTTATTTATATATTGGTCTAAACATCTTTTTTCTTCTTTTGGAAAATGTTGGGCAGTTCCCACATTTCCACTGACTTTACCAAGACAAATTTAATTGATATATTATTCTTAAATTATACGGTTCCTGACGTGATTTTGATCATAGTTGTAATGCAATATTTGCAATAAAAAATGTTAACGTATGTATAATGTAGTATAGTTTTTATTTTCCAACTTGTTGTGTAGACGTATTTACTTATTTAGAGCACTTAAGAAGGAAAACCCTGGATTCTTCAGGCTTCGGTCACAGAAAAAAAAAATGATATCATTAAAATGATCAGAACATTGATATTGATAGAAAATTTACACATTTGCCCACCAAAACACACACACACACACACACACACACACACACACACCACACACCACACACACACACACACACACACACACACACACACACACACACACACACACACACACACACACACACACACACACACACACACACACACACACACACACACACACACACACACACACACACACACACAACACACACACACACACACACACACACACACATTCCAGCAAGTACCTGTACTTTGAGGTACAGCTTCATGTCTCCCCAGGTTGGGTTGTGAGGGTTTTTCTTCAGGGTGAACCTGAGCGGAGGCTCTCTCTGGTCGAGGTCACAGTCCTTCAGCAGGTACTGCTTCTTCGCCTCAGTTCTGGAGATCAGCTTATGCTTCTCCTCGTTGTCTCTGAGGGCAAAAAGGAATCCACTGTTAATACCTGTGATCTGATTCAGTCAGGTGAGTTTAAATAAAAGTTACAATCTGAAGAAAAACTAGAAATAAACCCAAGACAAAAATAAAAAGCTGAGTAATGATGAGTATCGGGGTACCTTGACAACATTTCACAGACTATTGACAGTCAGGCGATGGTCACATCACAAATCCAACTGTTTTTATTTGTAAACGTTTCAATTGATTTCAGTCATTTACACGTCACGACTGCAAATCAATGAAGTACTGTAACACCTCTTTTTTCAATAGCTTCTATATTATGTGTTGTAATCACTCTAAATGACTTTTAAATTGTAGTGCTACACTGGACAAGAAGGAGACACCTCTATTTTATGTGATTATAGGTTTTTTAAAGTTATTTTATTTGAACATTCTCGGGAATTCTGCGGGTTTTCTATCCTTATCCTAACACATAACCTAATATCAGTGCGGTGTGTGTGTGTGTGTGTGTGTGTGTGTGTGTGTGTGTGTGTGTGTGTGTGTGTGTGTGTGTGTGTGTGTGTGTGTGTGTGTGTGTGTGTGTGTGTGTGTGTGTGTACCTGCACTTGTCACAGACAGACAGGTCAAAGCTGTTGCTGAGGTATGAGTCCATAAAGGGTTTTAGACAGTCATCGCACAGCAGGTAGTCTGGCTCTATTACTGGAGCTGAAAACAAAACAACTCTTAATACACATGTGAGTAATAACTTATAAGCATGCATGTACCCACTAAAGTCAACGAACAACACACAATCACACTCACCTAGCTGATGCACAACCTTCCTGACCCTCTGCTCTTCCTCTCCGTAACCCTCCTCCTCGATGAAGAAGCCGGCTCCAGAGTCGATGGTCTTGGAGACTTTGGCCGACGTTGCTCCCTCCACGGCGGACAAAGAGCGGCTCCCTAGTCGGGCTTGCCGGAGCATCAACGCCTGCTGTCGGTTCCTCTCGATCTTAGCCCGCATCGCTGCAGAGAGTTCGGGTTTGGGAGTGTGTGGAGAGGAGGGCCCCAGTGCACACACTCCCTCCGACTCTGACGGATCCATGTTGCTCTCTCAAACAGCGATCATCATTTAGAGATGTACAAACGGCGTGTTTTGTTACATTCAATTCAGCGTTAGTCTGTTTTTAAAGTTGCATGCTTCCGGTTGTATCTTCTTCTTTTAAATTTAGAAAGTTTTAAGGGCATTACCGCCACCTGCTGTTCAGGAATTAAAAAGACTAGAGATTTCTGAATATATGTAGGCCTACAGGAAATTCAAATTCCAACTTTAAAATGTTCTAATAGTTGTAGACTTTCTTGATCATTTACGCTGTGCCTGTCACTTTGACTGGGGGATTAATGGCTCATAAAAACAGTTCTTTTTTTTAATTAAAGGGTGAGTATACCTTTTTTTGTTCATCTTAAATATTTGTATTCAGATGCTAATGGCTGTATTCAAAACGTTTTCAGTTATAGCAGTTGTCCACAGAGCCACAAAAAAACCTTCATTACTTCTTTAAACAGTATATACATTTTCATTCCGTGATGCAACTCATGCACTATAATGCATACGTGCATTTTCAATGTAAGTGATTTGGGACAATATCCACAGCGTTTATTTTGTGTAATAGAGCTGACTAAAGCTAGTGCAGCTGCTAAGCCTCTAATGGATTCATCATGTTCTTCTTCTTCCTTCCTGTGACACTAGAAAGCAGAGGTGAGTGAGTCCTGTATTTGTCGTCCACAGGTGTTCAGTGAATCCCTGTTGCATCACGGTGATCATGGCTGAGGGCCACGCTTGCTGCTGTGAGAGGCTTAATTGTGTCAAAGTAAAGCAGATCCTGATGATGACATTGCAAATCTGTGCCGTGTGGTGAGGGAGCTTAAGGTAAACTTACAAGTGACCTGACTTTTAAAGTAGTGTGTTCGATTTAAAATGTTTAATGACCTAAGCATTGATTATATTGGATTTCTGTATTAAAGCAATAATATAATAATAAAAGCAGTATATCAAGATCTTTGAGGATACTTTAAATTATATATAAATTCTGACGTTTAAAACCAACTCATAAAGGTGTAGCATTAACCTATCCCAAAATTCCCATGAACTCTAAATGCCAACAAAGAAAATTTGAGGTTTGATTTATTTGATTATTTAACACTTTATACAGAGTTGAATGATACATGTGTTGTTTACAGTAGGCTTATAATACACAATTCAAGTAGTACATGAATGTTTTCCATACTTGCATATAGTACACGGAAATACAAAAGCATTTTACCATTTGTCATGGTATTCAAACGGGTCAAGGATAAATAATTTCTTAATGCATTCATTCATACATTCATTTCTCACATTCACATGATCCATCAAAGCAAGGGAGATACTAAGTGTTGAGTGTGATAATATAAGTTGTGTTGAGGTTAAACTATTTGTCAACTATGGTTAAACACAGAAGCATATATATACAGTCTTAAATTACAGTTTACACATCCTTTATACACATAAACAAACAAAAAAACACAAATGTTTTACTTTGCAAGGTATAGGGAATGTTTTGAGGAAATTTGATTGAGAATTTCATTTTCAATTGAAAAAGAAATAGTCAAAATAAACATACAAATACAAAATGTATTTCGGCTAACACTGTGACACAACATTTTAGTGTTAACCCTTGGGATCCATTCATTTAAAAATGAAATAATTTGTTGGAGGAATCTGAAAATAAATATAATTAAATGTTTGCGTTGATAAGAGGTTGTACTGTTAACACCTGACACTTTTAACATTGCTATGAGAAATAAAAAGCAGAGGAGGATGTTATTCAGAGATGACTACAGTATTGACTATCAACTCCAAGACTCATGGGTCATGTTGAACATAGCTGGGAGAGTAAAATATTGCCTACATTCACATATGAGACAAAGAAAGCAGACAACATTAGAAAAACAATGATGTAATTTGATGCTTTTAGGAGGGCAATTAGTTCAACTGATTTGGGCAACGTTGATAGCACATTTGTTTGACAATGAGGCCTTAAATTGGTCAGTAATAATACAGCCTCGGGTCAGTGAGAATGTTCCCTTGTATGTTAAAAATAAAGAAAAAGAAAACCTCTTGAAAAAATCCACCTACATTTAAAAAAACAAAGAGAAAAGAGGTAATGGGATCCGATTCTTTGAATTACAGAAATGTTTTCATTCTGATATTCTTGAATTGTTTAATCTTTTTTGCAACCTCTTCAGTAAATGTGCATTTCGATTAGTGGTTTAATTTATTAGAGGTTGAGGGAAACACCCATTTTAATATAAAGATGCCTAGATGTCAACATATCACCAAAGCATTTGCTGTTTGCTCACCTTAAATCTAATAAAGAGGGAGTAGATGAAAACAAAATAGCCTGAATCTTTGCAACATGTTTTATTTTACATAAGATATGCCTACTTGATGTTTCTTATAATAGTTGGATAAAAGAAAAATATTTCAGCCTCTATGCCACACACTGAAGACATAATGTTCATGCTATGTGAACATAGCAGCGCAATATGTTACAAGTGTTGTTTTACATCAAACCAATACAGGACACATCCAGTGATACCTGGTGATATTGAACACGCATTTTTACAAATACATAATTAGAAGAACAGGAAAAAAAACTTTGCGTTCATCAAGTCAAATTAAATGAGGAACACTAAACTTTAGTCAAACGCTTATTGTCCACACTGCATCATCTACTGGTAAATGTAACACCAGACCTGGTACATTTCCATGAGGAAAGTCCTCCTGTTTTAGTCAGGATACTGAAGTCATCTCTCTAAAGTGATGCATGTAAAGGCAAACAGAACAGAAGATATTATGTGAAAAAACCCAAATAAAATAGTTGGGCTGTGTTGAGCTTAATGGATCCATGCTATCTATTTGGACCTATTATAGATGTTCATGATTGGGAAGTAATGTAAGCATTTATGCCAAACATTTGAATATACTGTGTTTTTCAATATATCATCTCAAATATACTGTGTTTAAACAGACTCATGTTATAAACCCGGGGTATATCTCTGTCAATCACATTGCAAAGTCATACTGGAGGGGAAATGAACACAGTTAAAATCTAAAGGTTAACATTTCTAAGCAGCTATCACACTTATGAGTTGCCCCGGCCCTTTCTTCTTAATTTTGCTCATGACAAACCGGATCTCTCCAGAGCTTTGCTCCCCATCGAAACCAAACCAAAACAAAAGAGTTTCTAAAAATCTCCCACATGAACAGTTCATCTGCATTGCTTGGCTGGTTGCATGAGTAGCGAGGGTAGTTTTTATACTGCAACATGGTCCTCTATTTGAAGAAAACCCCAAAAACAATCTCTGGTGATCGTATGGAAATTCCCGTCCCAGATGGCGTTCACATAACTTGTTTGTCAGGTTCAACCAGAAAATGGAAACTGAATGAAGTCACATGGAACAAACAGAGACGAGTCACTCATACTGGGTGGCATAAAGTGTGTCAATGACGTACAGGCTCGTTCTGTACGCCATTGCTGCACCGGTGTGAATATGCAGCCTTGATTTCAGTCAGTACCCCTGCCTAACTTGCGTGTGTTTGGATGTGTGAGTGTGTCTTCTATTATTTATGTGAGACAGATAAACAGTTTGTGTCTGTGCGTCCTTCCTCTCCTATAGTAAACTTGAACCCCTTCGCTCTTAATTTCAGCTCTCTGGCGTTAGGTGGAAGTGGCTTCTCTCAGACGGTGATGGGGCAGGTAATGATTTTGTCCTCCAGCATGACGCTGAGGACCAGGAACACAATGTACAGCAGGAACATGAGAAAGCCCAGAAACTTGCTCATTTTCCATTTGCAAGCCGCGATGGAGATGGTGACAAAGAGGAGCATGAGAAAGAGTAGGACGATGGCGCAGAACAGTCCGTTGCTGCTGACCTGGATCGGTTTGAAGTCGTTGATGATGTGGTAGATGAGCCAGGGGAATGGCAGACTAGAGGGAGATAAGGGAGTTTATTAAGTTAGGAGAGGAACATGTTAAAAACAGATATGACTTTGGACTATTACTCTGTATGTTTTTCTTGTTGTTTTCTGGACTCACCCCACAGTGATATCAAAGATGTTGGAGCCGACAGAGCTGGACACAGCCATGTCACCAAGGCCTTTTCGCGCCACAATCACACTGGTGATCAGGTCCGGGATTGAAGTGCCGGCTGCTAGTATAGTCAGTCCCATTATCTCCTCCGTAATCCAGAACGTTTCTCCAACCTGAAAGGAAGAACAAGTTGCAGCTGCACAGTTACAAAAACTGCATCATTTTCATGTTGGTCCAAAGATTCTTGTTACCGTGTTGCTGTTTTTTTCTGAAAAATGTCAGACTAGGCGGTTACCTCCGGGGTTGAAGATTGAACTTGGATGTGCTAAAAACTGAAGTTATAAAATGGGCACTTGAGGCTGGCTCCAAAAGGGTGTCAGTTTCCACGCACCACTATGTTAAAATGCCCAACTTTGCAGCAGAAATTCAGATGTAAGCAGCTTGTTTAAAAAAACATATTTTGTGTTCTGGAGCTTATTTTCCCGTTCATGACAACTGTATTTATATCATAAATAAGGGCATCATCATGGAGTCTTAAACATTACTGTTTTGTGATACATTTAAATAAATGTAACCTCATAATAAATAAACTGACTTGTGATATTCATTATTCTATCCAACAGATATTTAACATTAATGCCGACCGCATTTATTGGCACAGAAATGGCACGTGCGTCTCCTCAGTGACCTTGCATACAACATGACCTCATGCTTCAGGCCCGTCTTTGCATCTGCGCTGTTAAAATAGAGCAGTACAGGTTGATCTGGCTGTGGATCAAGGCGGATTAGCTGGGATTAGCTGCCGTGGTCACACATTCAACACCCTGAATGCTGCACTGACTCATAAGAAAGGCCTCAGGAAAAGGAGAGAGTTGTTGTATGAGAGACAAATAGAGAGAACGTACCTGGTGAGCCCACCACACCATCAGGTAGGAGAAGAAAGCAATCCAAGAAATGGCACCGATGAAAGTGACAGGGAAGAATCTGGCCGAGGCCTGAGACAACAAGAAAAAAAAAAGTTCAGTTTATCTACCGCACACTCAACAATTACCCCCCCCCCCCCTCGATATACTTCACACTTAATATAAGGTCAT